GAAATGTTGTTTGTGCCAGCCAAAACAAACCTATATGGGGTAGTCGATCACCGTAGCGCGGGCTGTTGACTGGTCGGCGGGACGCTTCAACATTCATGTATGAGGGTCGTTCTTGGGGGATTTTGACCTCTGCGTGCTCGATATCCTGAAGAGATACAGATCTGAACGTTATTCAGCCTTGAGATGGGCATTTGTGTCCCAGGAGCGATATAGGCTGACTCGAGGACCGTCGCGCCCTCGGTCAGGTGTTACCCTATAAGGTATTGTTTGGCTGGGACAAACAGAAACGCGCGAAACGCAGTTTCCGGACTTTTATGCAAAGCACTGTAAGATCAACAAGGGCGAGGAGAGCATTAGCGGCATCTTGTCTTGGCATGGCGAAGTACTAGGACAGCGTGGCTGCTGAAGGAGTCCGAAGGACAATCACGACAGACCAATGGGCCCTCACATAGGCGACATGCTCCACTTGGGAAAGAGAAGTTGCTTGGAGACAGAAATAAACTCTAACATGATCACAGGTGATTCGCTTTGCACAATGACCAGCCTACCACTTACATAAGTTCAGTAGCTTTGCAATAACAGACCTCGGACTCACAGTGACATATGATATATATCTGATCTGCTGAGCACTGAGCAGAGAGTCGATGGGTATCAGGAACCTGCGGATTCCAACTGCCTGAGCTATACGAGGACTGCAGAAATCACAGATGACTTTCCAGCAATCGGCGAAACGATAGAGAACTTTCAGAATCTTTCGCGCAGGCAGCCGAGCCCGGAAAGGTAATTATACCCCACTCGGGTCCACAGTGCACCACGACTCACCACTCTTGTTTTGATCAGGACACAGCATTAGCGGAACAAAATTGGTGATACCCTACTCCAATAAGTAAGCCGTGGAGCGGCTGCTGAGTGCGGAAAATCTCAAACTTCTCTATCGTTTCACCGATTGCTGTCATGCACAACCCAGAACTGTCTCGCAGACCGCGCGACAAATCGTGTCGTAACTCGTGACTTCTATTACTACCTTTCCACAAGGCCATTCTACGAGACCGGCCTGCGATTCAATAAGCAAGCAGAGAGAATGGTGTACCCGAGAGTCGAGAGTCTGCGTAGGTTATATGGAGACGATCACTGTACTTGCTCGGATGATGTTCCGCGGACAACAAGGGGAGCTGCCATTGTGGATCGAAGCCCAGAATACTACTGCAAGCGTCGAGCGGCAAGAAGTACCAAACTAAGCTATGTATGACGATGAAATCCAGCCAATATCGGAAGGATAGGGTGAACACCTGCGCGGTACGCGAGAGGACCCCCGATAATTGGTATAAATGCCTGATCAGGTTCCGGACAGATTTTGGGACTTTAGAGCCCTCAATGGCTGATTTTTTACAGACAAATCGGCCGATCTTGGAGAACAGGCTGCCGAGGAAGCTAAATTTAGACGTACCCACGCCGCAGTTGCCTTTTAGAGCCACTTTCTCGCTGTGATGCCTGTTTTTTTCCGGACAAAAGGTCCAAAATCGGCAATTTTCTTCCGGACAAAATGGGTCTACTTACATCAGCAAAATTTCCCATAACTGGTATCTGAATACCATTAGCATATAATCAATTAAAATAAGTACCAGTATTACAATATGTACCAGACTTGTGGACAGCTGGGCCAGCCATTATATTCGGATGGCACATGTTGCAAGACTCCCGCAAGAAGTACAATATGTACCAGACTTACACATATTACAAGCTCAGGCCAGCTTGCTTTGACCCATAATCAGACTATCAGCTGTCTTTTGCTTGATATTCCAGATCCCTGGAACAAAAAGCGGGCATTGACTGATGAACACAATAAACAGTGTATAATTGCTCAGACTAGCTACTAGACAGGATTTGCTATGGCTAGACATTCAACACAGTACTATCTGCTGACCCATACCCTCCACACAACCTACTCAATGGAAAGCAAGCCATGTCACTACAATAAACCAGATAGGTGAGATGAGAGACATACCTGGTGCACTAGTCATCTTATATGCATAGAACCCGGCAGCGGTAGACCTGCAGAACAGATCAGAACACTCAGTCATCAGTCATGTCACTAAACATGAGA